CTGGAAAGGAAAAAAAGATTGAATTAGAATTAAGATCAAGATTTCATCTTAAACACTATATAATGCAATGTTTACTGTGCAACCAAAGCTTGCAGATCTTTTAGTTACCACGCACACATCATATTCGTAAAGAAAAGCATGTACCCACAGAAATATCTTATGCATATCAGCATTTCAAGGGTAAGTACATGCATCCATAAGAGGAAAATGTTATAACATGAAAAAAGCAACATTTACAGATTGTGACTAATCATATTTTGTGTGTGTGTGTATGCGTGTATCTATGTGTACGTATGTAAGTATGCATGTATGTATCTGTGTGTGCGTGTGTGTGTGAGGGGCTTTTTTTGTCTGCTGTGTGTAAATGTGTTCTTGTGTATGGTTGTATGTATGTGTGTATTTTAGTATATATGTATGTATATATGCATGTATGTTTGGTTGCATGGATGCATGTACATATTTATGCATACAAACATGTATGTATGCACATATGTATATATACATGCATACATGTATATATGTATACATGTATGCATACATGTATGTATACATGTATATGTATGTATACATGTATATGTATATACATGTATGCATGTATGTACATGTATGCATGTGTATGTATGCATGTATATATACATACATGTATATATATGTACATACATGTATGCATACATGTATGTATACATGTATGCATACATGCATGCATGTATGTGTGTGCGTGTGTGTGTGTGTGTGTGTGTGTGTGTGTGTGTGTGTGTGTGTGTGTGTGTGTGTGTGTGTGTGTGTGTGTGTGTGTGTGTGTGTGTGTGTGTGTGCGCGCGCGTGCGTGCGCGTGTGCAAGAATGTGTTTCAGTGTTAGCGTATATCCGAAGATTTATCTTTCTGATAAATCTTACACGCATGTCAACACATTCACTTTCAATTATTCGAACGTTTCTTATTTTCACTTGACCAAGAAGCTATAACATTAAGTGCTCGCATTACTGCATCCGCCCACAGGGAACCACCGTTTTATATTCCGAACAAGCTTTTTCTATTGCTTTTTTTTCTCTTCACAGAAATAGTACAATAATATCCCGCAGGAGACGTAAACTTCTATTTAGTAATTTGAAAATGCATTCGTAAAAAATATTCACTATTCTACGTCATAGTTACAAATTTAACGGTCGCATCGGAGTCTATCGCCATCGACGGACAAAAGTCTACGGGTTTTCTCGCCCGATTTAACTACTTCATATTTGAGGCTCTCATGTGAACACATCTTAATGAAGAATATTTGGTGATGCGGAATATAATGCCTTTGATCTTGGCTTATTTGCAATATATCAGTCTAAACAGTGTATCCATCACACAAATCACGACTGCCAGTTCACATCAGGGGCGCAAATTTGGCAAGCGCTTTGCAGTATAAGCCGTAGTTTCTGCTCTGATATTAAGCTTGACATTCCTCTTCTCGGAACCACCAACCCGAAAGAACCACGAACACAACGCGACTTAATCAGAACGCGGCAGTCTGACCAGCCAGTGAGACGAGACACACATCCCACGTGCTTTCACAGAAGCAGGGCCCAAAGGCGTCGCGAGCAAGGACCTCAACCCCGACCCACCCTTGCCGCGCACCCAGGGTATCCGAGGCGAGGCGAGGCAGGTGGCGTGGCGAGCGCTGGAGGGGGTCAGGGGGTACCGGCCGGGTCCTGTGACCACAGAGGCAGAGGGAGGCGACGCACCTCAACGCGGCGGTCCAGCGGCGGACTGACTGACCTCCTCACGCTAGCCCAGTATATATATATATATCTCACCCAGTTTTCTCGTGTTGTACTTGCATGCTTGCCCAAGGTCGACTGCGGTGCGTGCGTGCCCTTGTTTATGATCCCGTCCCTTCGGCGCTGGAGTAAACACACACACGCGGATTCAATCATCTTTACGGCGTCGACATCCTCCATAAATGTAAACAAATGGCCGCCATATCGTCTGGCTATCTCCCGTTAACGCATTTCGATATGCAATGCCTCCCTCCCCCTGCCTAGCTTGCACGGACGACGCACGCTTCAAAACACACATTCATCTTCCTGGGGTTATGATACCCTAACCCCATGGACACGTCGCGAGCTGACAAATCGCTCCTGAAGTTAAAACCACCAAACGCCCTGCTTCCATCGCAGCACAACCCACCAAGCCATCACCGCCACCTAACGAAATCCCCCCCAGAGAGCCAGTCAGGAATCCGGGGCCTTTCTGCCGTGACGCCAAATGCCATAAAGCCCGAATTTAGGCGCAGGGCATCCGCGCTGATCGGCCTTTCCCGTGTCCGGCGCCCCTCGCGAAGGCCGGCCTGATCCGCGGCCGCTCGCGTCCCCATTAGGCGCGCCTCGTGAAGGGAGCGGCGGCCCAGGAGTAGCCGGCGGGTAATTCGTATGAAGGCGGACGCATGCAACGAGATGGATCGTATGTTCCCTTCTCTTTCTTGTCTTTCTCTGTACATACATGCATACACATATGC